CCCCTTATTATAAGAGGCACAAACATCATCGGGTGTTCAGGCTCGCCAACTTGGTTGATGCTTGTCATTATGTCCCAATGTGTAGATCAACGCTCCTGATGTCAACAATCACTGGATTATTTGGACCAGATTTGATCATTTACAGACATCATAAAGCTGGACACTGCTGGATTGTCACTCAGTGTCAAACAAAAGACTGACTGACTGTCAAAACAGAAAAAGTCAAACAAAAGAAGAAAAAAATAAATAAGATATATCCAAAATTATCTTAAGTCTGAAAATAAATTCCAATGTTCTGCAAATTACCCAATATTTTTGTTCAACCAAATGTCTATCATGTATAACTGAATACACTGTATGTATCTTTACACACCATGACAACTAGACACTTATTATTTGTGTCACAGCCTACTCATATGAACTCTCCCAATGGTTTCTCTGATAATCTGTTTTGACATGCATGTCTGTTTGTTCTTTTCAAAATAGATTTAACACCTTTTTAATGCAAACAAAACAGTTTTATTATCTGTGAAATTTATCAACAGCTGTAAAGTATTGATTACCTGTCAAGTAAAGTTTTCTCCCAAGCACCAAGCCATGTTTACCACCTACCTGCACTGTTCTGTACCTTAAATGGTTACTTGTTTGCGAAAAGGAAATGAAAATAGTGCAAGATGGTCAATATAAATATATATTTTGTAAAATGTTGGAAATTTAATTAATCTCTATAAACAATTATCATTATTTATGAAATATAAACTGGGTTTTGTTATGATGAATAGTCAAATGGTTACTTATCTTCAAATATTCAGCTCTAATTAAAGCATGGTTCCAAATTCAACATTGCTGGGTTATTTCTACAAGTAAATAAGCCCTAAACTGAAGACATTTTTTGTTAATCTCACTGAATTGCATTGAATTCTTTTCATTGCTGAAATTAATTAACTGATTGGCTGGAAGCAATATAAGACCACTCTCAAACTGTATTTTTTACTAACTACCTTCTATTAGTGATTGAAAAACATAATGCTGGCATTATTCCAACTGGGTTTTTGAAACAGTTTTTACACTTTGAACTTATGTTTTATACTTACAATGTTTATCTAAATCATCACCAAGAGTGTACTGTATGAAACAGCTTGATGAACATAAAGAAGTTGAATAACAGCCTCACATATAACCACTTACAGTGTTCTGGGAAGAAATGGAGGTGACTGCAAGGTTCAAGTGAAGGACTGATTGGAGTTGTACCACCCCTGTGGTAGTGACATCACAGTGTTTTCCTACTGACTTATCTTGTCCCATCTCTCCCCGGGGCATACCACCCACCCTACTGTCAGTGTTATAGAAGCTAGCATCACTGTTTATGTATTACTGAACAGAGGGCAATTAGTGTTAAGGGTGTTACAGGTTATTGGTATAAACACTCTTAGAACAGCATGTTTGATACAATATTCTATTTATTTTCCCTGAATTGTGATTCTATTAAACATTCTTTACTTGTGTATAAAAATTTGTTTTTAGTATTGGAAATATCTGTGACTATTTTCGGTAATATTTTAATCCATTTAATATCCTGTTTGTGTGTGTTTTGGAAAAAGATTTTTGTGATATGTTGCATGTCTAAACTAATAAAAACGGTAATCTCTACGGCAGAACTGAAATAAGACCCAGCAAATAACCAGCCCTAATTAGAAGCAATTTGGACAAACATGAAAACCTGGTTGAACAGATATCAGTTTTGAAAAAAGAGGAAAGTAAATAACGCAATGCTCAGGGATGTCATTTATCAAACAATATTACTGGAATCCCCTGAAATGGAATTATTCTGAGTCTGCAAATACTGGTCAACAATTTGGGCTTAGCTCCAAGCCATATGAGGAACTATTAGAATAAACCACTATCTTTGTCAGCTGACAAGCAATATTATACAGTACCAGGGGAGAGATTACTTGATAACAGCCAACAGCATATTGCCAATACTGAAATGTTAGGAGAAATATATTCAGATATGTGTTTTGGTTGATATGACATTTTAGAGGGTGAAGATGATGCCGCCAGAATATTCCCTTGATATGATGGTTACAGTTAGAACTGTAAGCACAGTTAGGTCCAAATCTTCAGGTTCGAGATATCGTAAGACTCCAGATACTGATACAAACATGTAACCAATATATTTCAGTTATCTGTTTTCACCCAAAGTGCATAATAACTGGCCACCATTTTATATTTGATGAACAACAAATAAAATAGTATTCAATTTTGGGGCGATGGTGGTTAATGTATTCACTCATTACACTGAAGACCCGGGTTCGATTCCCCACATGGGTACAGTGTGTGAGCCCATTCTGGTGTCCCCCGCCATGATATTGCTGAAATATTGCTAAACGTGGTGTGAAACTAAACTCACTCACTCACTCACTGTATTCAATTTTTCTTTTTTTATAATTGATAATTTTTATTTCCTGCTTCCCCTGTTACAGAAAAGGCAATACAGCCAGGAGACTCTAAGGTCCTTTGCAAGGAAACTTCATTGATAACAGGAAAAACAGGATTTTTTCTAACAAAGCACAAAACAACAACACCAGACACCACAACACATTCACTCACCAATCACACTTACAAGCTTCAAATATTTACAGTAAGTTTAAGTTCAAGTTCATTCAGCCTATATATTTTTTTCATTAGGGAACAAGAAGAAAGGATTCAGAAAGTCATTTAAAATTTGCAAAATCATGATATAACATCCACTTTTTATAAAACTTATCTTGTTCACTTTTACTGAAGGATATATTCTTTTCAATAAAATACCTATCTTGTAAATAATGTCTAAAATGTTTAAAACTAAGAGTAGTTTTTAAAACCTAACATTTATATAGAATTTAGCTAACACATATTAAATCAAACACATCATCAGTATATACATTTGTTCTCATTCCAAACACAGTAAGTTGCAGGTCCAATTTCATGTTGTGAACATGTTGACATTTATCATTCAATAATTCTAGAAAACATTTCCAAAAAGCTTGCACATGTTCACAATACAACAAGTGGAGGATTGTTTCAACCTGACATTGACAAAAGGTACATCAGTTGCTTTCAGCTAATTTGATCTTAAATAAAAATGAATTAGTTGATAGAATACCATGTATAATCCTGAACTGAAACCATTGAAGTTTATTATCCCTTGTAGTCTTTAAAGGTTTTAAACATATTTTTTCCCATTCAAGTTCAGCAAGCATACAATCCTCCCACTCATTCATGAATTTTAAGTTTACATCAGATGCAATCAAAACATAGTAATAACACTTGGCTCCCCTCTTAACAGACATCAGTTTTCGATTAACTGTATTACCATCTAACTGCTCAAAAGAAGTCTGTTTCATTATCTTTAACTTAGTTTGATAACTTTTTGTTTATCTTATTAACAGTTTAAGAATCTACATTGAGGTGTCGCTCTATGCAATAAACATGAAAGTGGTATCCATAAAGTCATGCTTCATTATCGACCCACAAACTTCTAGAATGCTGATCAGATATGTAGTATGTATATGTCTGGGGACCTAAATCTATGTTTGAGATATTGTGTAAATGTGATTATCAAAGTTTGAGATATAAATACAGGTATGATGATACCTAAGTAGGGTGATTTAGAGAACGAAGCCTTCGTTTGATATCAGCATGATATATAAGATTCGGAAATTTGAGACTGAGGAATTAAGGGAGTTGACTGTTGCATGAAGACTTATAACTTTTTATGGTAACAGTGTCTTCATTTTAGCATGCATCTCAATAAAGATAGATTGATTTTTGGATCCGTGTAAGTCATGAAAACTTCTGAATTGGGAAACCACTTGCCACTAATGTGATGGATAGTTGGGTAAGATTGATTTATTCAAAAGGCTTCGATTGGTGTATAGAATTGTACCAGATAGTTACAGTCACTGACTATAATAACAATTACTGTAACACTGCTAACAGTTCAAGGTCAACAATGAAAACTCTCACTGATAAGTGTCACATCATCAAATCCTAGTCACAGCCCCATTACCAACCTTAATCTGTCACAGTAAATCTAAAGAAGTACAATTGGGAGATGCACATCTTTTATCCAATCTGTGTCACACCAACAGTTTACCATGTAATCCCCATTGTGCTGACATATGCCTTTATACAGGACCTAGTGATATGCCATAGAGAGTGAAGCAGGGAAAACAATAGCTGGACAATAATGAGAGTATAACCCAGCAGTGTAATGACCTGAGGATTACCGGACTAGTTGGGGAGACTATGTGAGTTACTGTCTGCCTGCAGTCAAGTGAGACAAATGACCGATCCCTGCAGAGTTGTATAGACCCCACAAGCTTGTTCCATTCATCATTTGGGAACCTCGACAATAATGACCACCACCAGAACATCACTTTTTGGACATGCCTGTTGCTTTCAAATACTCTGAACATTTGTTGTGGCAATTTATAAAAGGTGTCAGAGTGAGATTTCAGATGCTGGGCAGTTGCTGGAGAACCATCACGGTGGAGGTCTGAGAATCTCATTGACATGCATGAAATTCCTGATCGGACAGAGTCTCAGTGGTCATAGGAACTGAGAAACTTGTGTCTTGCTTATCAGTTTAATCACATGCAGAGTAAGCTTTCTTATTACAAAGATTGGAGTCGGGCTAACATTACATTGGACTGAGCAGGCAGGCAGGGAGGCCGCCAGTGTGATCAATGTAGTTCCACGCTAGGGAAGTGTGACTGACTCTGTCTTTGGCATGTTAACCACTTGTGAAATATGGCAGCATTTCACAAACTAGTCAAGCAGGCGCTGAAGGTGGCCAAAGGGTAGGACACACACTGTTCAAAGCATCTTTTTTTTCCCACTTGGAACTGTATGTTCATTTACTGTTTTGTTTAATCCGATTCTATCTGGCATCGTGAGTGTCATGTCTGATGTGAATTGTTCGATCTGTGGATTAATTTGCTTCCTTTTGATTTCAGTGTTGATGAACTTCCTGAAAATGAGATTGAAGTAAGTATGAATTATTTTCTTAATCGGTTGTATATTATTTCACAAGGAACATATTTTGATAATCTAATTAAAACTAGTTAGATCTTCAAAATAAGAGTATCACAAAATATGACTGGAATCTGTACATTTTTCTGTAATTTGTTTGTCAATATTCAGGAATATGTATATTTTATTGCCTTGTCATTTTCTATTCTATAACTATTATTTTTGTATAAGGAGGCATTCCTATTTGATCAAATATACTGGACTAAAAAAAATCTACTTAAACTAAAACTTAAATAAAATAAAATTTTGGCACTATGTCTCGAAACATTTAAAAAAAGATTAAAATCTGTGCAACAACATCGTTGTATTTCATTATCTCATGCCTAAATGACCTGAACAGATTAATTATATTTTCATAGTCATTTAGCCAAATATTCCAAAAATTTATATATATGTTTTCAAAGTGAATCAATACATAGGCTTGTATGAACTGAATAAGGTGTTGGCATGACTTGTGTTTAGTGCTATGAGAAACATGACATCTGTGATAGCAGGCTTGGTGGTATTTAATCCTTAGATCTACTGTATGACAAAGGATTGGCCTTAACTAAGTCATGGATAAACAGATTAAGTCTGCAATACCCTCTAGAAATGCTAAATATGTACTATGTTAACACCCCAAACAATATGTACCACTGAGTCTGTTGTGACAGGCAATATAAATATGGTCTAATACCTGGCAGGTGCTTTCATTGTATTTGTTCAGTCACACTTCTGTACTATGTAAGATATGTTTGCGTTATTGTTCTATATCCTCAGATGAAATATTGAACTCTCATTCTTGAGAATTGCAACTGTATTTTCAAATGTTATATAAGTGTTGTTCATGCAACCTTTCAGATTTACATTTGATCTATCATCAAGGTTGAACCATGTATGGCTGATTTTGTCCTAGATCCTGAACAATATTCTCAAATAACACCAGAAGTATGAAGTGTGATAATCAGTCCCCAAATCTAAATGTGTACATGTTGTTCGTAGAGGAAGTTCTGCAGCTTGGCACTGGCCTTCAAGACCGACAAGTTGACCCTGGAAAAACGGAAAGGTATCCAGGAGAGGTCTAGGGATCTGGCAGAGGAGAATGTGGATAGAGAGCTTGGTGGGCTCAGAGATGCAGCCGAGGTGAGCTGATTTTCTCATTTGCTTAATTGGATTTAAAGTAGTGGATGTTTCAGGTTCTAAATATTCATGAGGACATCTCAGATTCTGGGCATTTATAGATTTTCTTTGTGATAAAAGTAGGGTTAGATAAAAAATATTTATTGTCCAGCTTCACAAGGTCAACAATGATTGGCGTTAATGGAGGAATGTGGTAAAGAAGATGTTTAAATGTCATTTAAGTCAGATTAGTCATTATGGTTTCCATAAAAGTATATTTTACTTTTTCTGTTGCTAAGTATATGACATTAGATTGTTTTGGTGCAAATTTCACCCCTGGTGTGGTCCGTGAGGAGTCTTATCTTTGGTGGAAAAGACTGTGAAGTAGATTTATTATCTGATACAAATATTACATTCATGTAAACTTTATAAAGCAGGTTTGCTGTTTGTCTTTTGATAAGACATGGCAGAGTTACTGTTTTTATTGCTTTTATATCAACTGCACTCATGTTTTGAAATGCATTCAGTGTAAAAATGAAGCATGTTCTTAGAGAGGCAATACAAAGTTCTATTTGCATTCAGGCAAGCAACTAAAAGTAATTGTTTGTTTGAATATTTTATGTTGCAAATGTCAAAAATGGGGGAGTGCATTACTTTCTTCACAATGTCTACAGAGACAGGGTTCTGGGTTGACAGGGAGGGTTCTGGTAAGGAGAGGATGGGCTGACAGAGAAGATTCTATGAAGGATGGGATGGGGAACCAGCAAATCTGTGCAGGAGGACTCTGGGTAAGGAAGGATGGTTTGGTAGGGAGGATTCCGTTGAGATGACAATGGGTTAACAGAGGAATCTGGGAAGTAGATAATGGGGTGACAGTGAGGGTTCATTGAAGTAGAGGATGGGTCAACAGAGAAGATTCTATGAAGGCTGGGATGGGGAAACTCGGCAAATCTGTGCAGGAGGATTCTGGGTAAGGAAGGATGGTTTGACAAGGAGGATTCTGCCGAGAAGACAATCAGTTGACAGGAAGGATTCTTGGTAGCAGAAGATGGGTTGACAGGAGGATTCTATGAAGAGTAGGATGGGTTGACAGGAAAGGTTCTGTAAAGGGGAGAACTGATTGACATGGCTAACCCTATGATTGAGGTCAAGGCCATGTGTCCTGAAAGCTCTCATATCTCACTCTTATCAGTGTACAGACTCTCACATCAGCAGCCTTATCACATGTGCACTCCTCTCACACCATCCACCCTGCTGGTGGTAATGATACCTATAATTTTATTTTAACAGGAATTTTGAATAGATACAACTTGTAAGGGACAACTCTTGATTGGTAATAAAATTAGCTAGGGCTGCCAAGTTCTACCTGATCCTATCAATATCATTGGTTTTCAGTGCAAATTCACTGCTTCTAGTACAGTGCAAAGAGTGGGGCAAATAATCACCACTTAGGCTACTAATGCTGCCTTCAAGTGGAAAGAATTTCTTGCATAGAATTTCATTTGCATCATAATAGAGACTTTGACTTCCAGAGGTAGCCACTCCATGTGGATTGATTACTATGGTAGAAATGTTAAGTAGCACACACTTATAACATATAACATATGATATCCCTTCTAGAAGTGGAGGTAGCATTATATTGCTCCTTGACCAGGACAACTGGACTTAACATTTCTGTGTGTATCCACTATCGATAACTTGTGGTGATGCAATATATTGACATACTGGTATGATGTCCAAGAACATGTCTCCTTGTCAGGCTAATGGGGTTAGCAGGGTTTCAGATTGGTTCAGGGCGTTGTGGTAGCCTGGTGGTTAAAGCATTCGCTTGTCATGCCAAAAGCTCGGGTTCTATTCCCCACATGGGTACAATGTGTAAAGCCCATTTCTAGTGTCCCCTGTCATGATATCGCTGGAATATTGCTACAAGTGGCGTAAAACTAGACTCACTCACTCACTCAGGTTGTTGGCTGGGGCCTTTTGCTATATAGGGCTTTTTTAAGCAGACAGACAATTGTTTGTAAAACAACTTTGTACAAAGATATTTTTTATGGCACCGAGAGTGATCTGACTTGGTTCACTGGAACATGTTTTTCTGGAGCATATGTCCAAAACTGCATGGTTTTCTTCAGCATGCACACACAATGACCAAATGGTAAACCGGTGCTTTCAAATCTTGCAGAATTTTAATAATGGTGTGACATCCATGATTTCATGTCTTTGTCAGAATCTATCTGACATACACATTTTAGAATCCCAATAACACGGTGTTGTTTTGATAGCTTGATAACCACTTTTGTATACTTACAGACAAATTAGATAGTAATACTCTCATCAACTTGGACAGATCGCTCTTGTAGGACTTGTTGTCTCAATCGAATTGGTAGGGGCAGGGGGATTTGTCATCTTCTCATAGCTCTTGTTCAAATATGGTATTGATACAGAAGACTTCTGTAAATTATGAATGATAAAATCAGGGGAAATGTCCTCACACTAGTGAGTGAGTTTGGTTTTACGCCGCTTGTAGCAATATTCCAGCAATATCATGTGCACAAATGTATGCACAAGAAACCCAGTGATTTAACTATATAGTGTGAGGACAGGACAGTGGGGTAGCCTAGTGGTTAAAGTGTTCGCTCATCATGCCAAAGGCCCGGGTTGGAATCCCCACATGGGTACAATGTGTGAAGCCCATTTCTGGTGTTCCCCATCATGATATTGCTGGAATATTGCTAAAAGCAGCATAAAAACACACTCACTCACTCTGCCTAATAGTGGTGCAGTGGGATGACCTAGTGGTTAAAGAGTTCGCTCACACACTGCAGACCCAGGTTTAATTCCCTACATGGTGTTGGAGCTGAGATATTGCTGGAATATTGCTAAAAACAGCATAAAACAATACTCACTAACTCCCTCTACTGGTTAATTTCCATGATCTCAACTACCTTAAAATTACCAACGGGAATAACATTTTTAACATGGTTCCTTCAAGTGATGTGAATGAAGACAGACAAGCATGAGTGGTAGACAAATATCATCAGTCCATATTTCATTTGAGAACCAGGTCAGTAAGTTGTATAAGCTGCTGGTAAGTGTTGAAAGGTCATGTCAGTAGACAAAGCAGTGTGTGAGGGCAGCAGAGCTTTTATGCCACTTCCCTCACCTGTGTGTGGAGCACACCTGTTTTCATCTTGTACTCCTGTGTCTCACCATAGAGAGTGATCCATGTAGGCCTCGAAACCCTCTGCCTCATGCAATGTAAACTTGAATGGGAACTTCTGCATGTTTGAGTGACACTTAGAAATTATTGTGATGAACGAGGAGAGTTTATGGATATACAACTTCTTTAATATAATATGAGCACCGTTTGTGTGTAGCTACTAACTCACTTGCTTGATAGCGGTGTTAGTAGCTACACCGAAACATTGCTCATATTATATTAAAGAAGTTGTATATCCATAAACTCTCCTCATTGTTCAACTTCCGCATTCTCTGTGTATAAGACAAGGGAACATGGTTTTGTACTAGTAGCCACTTGTTAATTTTAGCCTGATGTGTTTTTCATCAGAGTGAGTGAATTTACTTTTATGCCCTTTTAGCAATATTCCAGCAATATCCCTATGGGGGACACCAGAAATAGGCTTCACACAGTACCCATGTTGGGAATCGAACCCAGGTCTTGGGCATGACGAGTGGATGCTTTAACCGCTAGGCTACCCCACCACCCTGTTTTTTATTGGAAGGGATGTTAGCAGAATCAGATTTGTGACACAAAATGTGTAGCATTAGTATTCAAAGTAAAACTTGTTATAGGGTCAGTTTACAGTTTGGCCAGTGAAGATCTGTGTTAGAAGTGGTTTTCTGTAACCCATGCTTGTAGTAAGAGGTGACTAGCAGGATCAGGTGGTCACACTCGCTGACTTTGTTGACACATGTCATCGTATCCCAATTGCATAGATCAGTGCTCTTGCTGTTGATCACTCGATTGTCAGGTCCAGACTCGCTTATTTACAGACCGCCACTTTGTAGCTGGAACATTGCTGAGTGTGGCGTTAAACAACATTAAACAATAAAAGGAACTGCTCATACACTAAGATGGAAACCTACTTCAGTGATGCTAATTGTCCCCACTTTTGTCTCACAATACACAAAAAAACATTCAGTGTACTTTCTTATGAGCTTTTATAGTAGTCTGGGTTAGACCAGTTTTCATATGTTTTCAGGCACAAAATTTATGCTCACTCAGAAAGTTTCATTATGTTCAGAAGTTGACATGGACATATGTTAAAAACAAATTAGTCAAAACCAGATAAAACATGTAGAATTAGTTAGAAAACATGTGTCTTTATAAAGTAATTGTAATATGTTATTATTACTTTAACACATTTTTCACTGTGTACAATGATAATTGTAAAAAATTTAAATTTTACAGTAGTGTATAATTTCATTTTGTTACTGAATGGCTGATGTCCAAACTTAAGGATTTTGAGTGGAATGTTTTCTTGATAACACTGAGAGGGGTGATATCTTTTAGGAAATCAGGATTTTGCATGAACCAGTTATACAATAAAAAAATGAATGAGTGGTGACAAGAAACATTTAGCTGACTTTTACCTGTTATATCTTTCCAAGATTAGAAGAATATGCCTCTTCAGCAGCAATATGATAAAAAAGTAATATGAAATACTTTTCCAATATGCTAGGCAATCATTAAAACACTGAATAGATTAATAAGATCTCCTGTCAGTTCATTATGGAATAATGAGATTTTTAGTTCTTTTCATTATTTTTATTGAATTCAATAATGTCAGAGAAAACAGCAAACTGAATTTAAAAAATGATTTAATTTTTCTAATCAAGCATGTTAGTGACTGGACTGTAATAAAAATGTGCAGCTTCGCACCCTGTTACCTCTATCCTTTGAAGAACCTTAATCAAGCCTGCTGCTAGTGCAGGTATTGTCAGGTCATCTATAACATTACAGATGATTATTCTCCCTGACAAAAACCTTGTATATAACTTAA